TGTGTGGGGGGGGGGGGGATGGCTGCTGGAGGCCAGGGGCAGCCCGCAGAGCCCTATCTGGCCTCCCAGAGGAGTCACCATCTGGGGAACTTAGCCTGGCCCTCCAGAAGGAGCTACCAGATGGGGATTTCAGCCTCGGCCTCCCCAGGAGCAACTACCACCCTTGCTATTATGGGTGGTCCCAGTAAGCTCTCCCACTCTGGTCTCCCAGCTCCCATCCCTGAGTCCTGCATCCCCCACCCATGCCCTGAACCTCCCACTCCCCTCCCGCTGCCCTCCCTCACACTGAACCTTGTGCTCTGAAGTACTGCCCTCAGTCCAGCACCCTCCACCCTCTTTTCTGACCCCCCAACTCCTCCAGCCCCATTCCCTGACTTCTGCACTCCACCATCTTCCCTGAACACGACAACTGGAGAGGCATATGGGCTTCATGACTCAAATTATTTCAGCAGCCAACAAGTCATGTATGTGGCCCCAAACATTTTCCATATCAGCTGGGGTGATTAAATCATTCTCAAAAAGGTCGAGAGCCATTTAGATGGATCTCATGCCAAGTACTTTTTGCACAGCCCATGTCCCACACATGCTGGGAGAAGACATCAGTATACTCTAACATTTTTCTGCAGAGGCACTGTTTCCAGTCCTCAGGGATAGGGGAATCTCCAAAATCAAAATAATCTGGTGTCATGTTATTAGTGTTGCTCTTGACAGCTGCTGCATGCATCGGAGGTTCTACATGAACTGGGAACAATTGGTCAATTACTGTCCAATGCCTAATGATCACTTTGTGATCAGATACATTTCTAACAGTAACTGTGATCCTCCTAGAAGACACTGTTGTGGCATTTTAAACCTCAGGTTGTGCCACAAATCCTCCAGGTGTAGTCATTTCCTCCAGTGTATCCACTAACAACAACTGATCAATAGGCTGAACAGAAAACTTTGGAATGCCAGTCACTTGACAGGCACTGCCAAGTGGTATGAGTACTGTTCTTTTCTGTGTGTACCATACATTGCCATACCTGTTAGCATCTTTATCAGAAACTGAGAGAGACTTTCCATGGAAGCATTTATAGGCCTCACGGATCTTAGGATGAATAGGCAAGGTACTGATGCATCCTTCCCCCACAGTTTCTTTGCATAGTTAAAAATTGCTGGACTAGACTACTATTGGTGCCAACCAAAACTGCAGCATTACTTTTGACACCAAGGTCCGGGCACACTAGAACTAAAGTATCCAGCTTCTCATGAACTCCAATGATGGACTGTGAGAACTCAATCTGAAGGGATAAGTACCCCTCATATGGATATTTTTGATTACTCAACCCCCAGATTTTCAAGTTATCCAAGGGTTGGATGGACAACCCTTGGTAGGTGAAGATAGGTATTGTAGAATGTCTTGTACAAAATAATGACTTGTGAACCACTGTCTAGGAGAACATGAGCATAAATGCCTTCCATTTGGACAGAAACAACAGGAGCTGGACCTACCTTGTGGCAGATTGTTCCAGGTATTTTCACCCTGTTGGTAGCACCTAGTGGAGTTTCTCTTCCTTGAAGCACCAGTTCACTCCTTCACTGAGGTTCTCTGAAATTTTCCACATTTTTTCTTGCTTGGATGAGCTTGCAGTTAACTTTCTGTAAATCCTCTTCCGCAAAACAGTCTTGTTTTGTGTGACTACCCTCTCCATTTGTAGCAGAAGATGTCACTTCTACCATTAGTTTCAACAGAAACTCTTGATCGAGGGACAGTACTACTAGACATTGCATCATTGCTTCTCACAGGGTCATCCCTCCTTTGGAATTGAGAGTGTATTTAGGCTTTTCCACCCTAGTATTCAGCTGAATTGGCTGATTAACTTTCTCAGACACTGCAGACCTTTCTTGAGGTCAGCTATTTCATCAGGAGGAGCAGCAGAGATGACAGTGCATTGTGGAAGCCATCTTATATTTAGCTAGAAGCCACTTCGTATAACACAAGCCATTTAAGTTTCTTGTTTCTGCACGTATACTAAACAGTGAACTGACCTTCACCAATGTGAGAAAGGCCAGATCAGAAAGCTGCAGCTTCAGGGTTATCAGGTTGCCAGGACAAGCACCCTTCAGTATTTGCTTCAACCTCGCCTGATCCAAGTGGGTGGCAAATATCCCCATCTTTACCAGTTCCTTATGTAGGAGCTTCTCTAGACAGCATGGCTGTGTCTACACTGGCACCTTTCTCCGGAAATGCTTAAAACTGAACAGTTTTCCGTTATAAGTATTTCCGGAAAAAGAGTGTCTACATTGGCAGGATGCTTTTCCGGAAAAGCCCTTTTTCCGGAAAAGCGTCCGTGGCCAATATAGATGTGCTTTTCCGGAAAAGAGCCCCGAGCATCATTTTTGCGATCAGGGCTTTTTTCCGGAAAAAGACTAGTGGGCTGTCTACACTGGCCCTTTTCCAGAACAATGTTCCGGAATAAGGACTTATGCCCGAGCGGGAGCAGAATAGTTTATAGTTTTTCCAGAATAGTGGCTGATTTTGTACAGTAGAGCGTCATTGCTTTTCCGGAAATTCAAGGGCCAGTGTATACAGCTCGCAGCTTATTCTGGAAAAGCGGCTGCTTTTCCGGAATAAGTGATCCAGTGTAGACACAGCCCATATGTACTGTGACAGTTTTTCACCTTCTTCTGGATATGTGGAGGTAAAGTGTAGAAACAAATCCTCTCCACTCTCAGAAGTCGCATAAATATCATCCAAAGCATGGAGATACTCCATAGCACCAGCAGAGGAATTACTTGTCCATAAGGATCTAATGACATCAGAGGCTGGTCCTCTCAGACTTTCAGCTGGTTGTTGCCTTTTGATAGTATCTGGGCATTGCCACTCCTCTATCATCTGGACAGCTTGGTCCATCCAA